GGAGGAGGAGGAGGAGGAGGAGGAGGAGGAGGAGGAGGGAAGGGGGTTGGTCTAGAGGATCTGCAAGATCCCTTCTAACTCTGTTAATCTGAGGAGGAGGAGGAGGGCAGGGGGGTGGACTAGATGATCTGCAAGGTCCCTTCTAACTCTGTTAATCTGAGGAGGAAGAGGAGAAGGAGCAGGGGTAGGAAAAGAAAAGGAGGAGGAGATCCTTGGTGCTCTCTGAATTCAGTTGTTTTCTTCAAGACGTTTCATGACCCAATTAGATAACATCATCAGGGCACTAATGATGTTACCTAGAAGATGTTACCTAGCTGGGTGATGAAACGTCTGCAGGGCCCCACATTTCCATTCTGAGCTAAAAAAAAAAATTCTCTTCTGTCGTCATGTCACCTGATTTGGCCCCGATCTGCCAAGTCCTGATTCTTACACAATCTTCTCAAATGGTAGCTGAGGACCTTCCCACGCATCTAAGTCAAAGTTGGGTTCCTACTGGTTTGGACCACTTCGGCCGAGCCGGTAGTGGTTTGGTGGCCTAGAAATGGACTTACGTGGATTAAAAACAGCTGCATCTCCATCTCGGCAATTCTGCGGCCGAGACACTGACGCGGCCCGAAGCCAAAGCTTAATCCTCTGAAATATCTGGGGTCCTCAGCCTTAATCCACCTTTCTGGGTTGAACTGCAGGGGTTTGGAGAAAAACCTGGAATCCCGAAACATGGCGTAAAGACCCACCTGGACTAATATCTGTGAAGAAAAAAATAGGACCGGGGAAAAGATAAACTAGGATTTATGAGTTGCATCTCAACAAGGTTAAAACTAGCGTCAGCAAGAATGACTTCTGGCAGCTTCTAGATGTTTTCAACTATCCTTGGGCCAGCATGCTATGAATGAGGACAAGGTGTATCTCCACCACCACAATAGATTCGGTCTGTGGTGGCAAACCTGTGGCATGCATGCCACAGGTGGCATCCGGAGCCTTCTCAGCTGGCAAGCCAGCCGTCACCCCAGCCCAGCTCCCCCGCACATGGGCACGCGCCTCCTGCCAGCCAGCTGGTCTCCGGGTCTCTGCTACCCATGCATGGGGGTATATGCATGGGACATGTGCATGCATCACGGGGGTGGGGGTACATGCATGGGGGGGGTGCCCAGATTCCATTTTGGGGGTTCGTGCCATCCTCACATCCTGTTTTGGGGCCTTGAAGGCCTCCTGCGCCAACCTGGAAACAAAAAATGGGGGAGGCAGGGGGCATGCACAGGGGGACACACACGTATACGTAGGGGTGCATGCGGGGGGCACTCACATTGCATTTTGGGGGTGAGCGTGCTTTAGGCACTTGGCACCAAAAAGGTTTGCCATCACTGGATTAGGTGATGCTAGAAGGGATGTGTGGTGGTGACATCCACGCAGAAAGCAGACTAAAACCCACACTGATGATGAGGCACGACCAAGAACCAGAAGCCAGACCGCAACTGCACCATTA